ACATTACATACATGTTTTCTTCACTACACAATTTCTTAACATTTCCACTATATTGATTATTTCATTTTCGTCTTTCTTTCTAGTTTGTATTTCTTATCATTGATTTTGTTTAATTTATACTTTTTTACCATTAATTTATTTTTTGAGAGCCAATGGGGCTGGGGTCAACCTTACCCACTCCTAATATTCCTCGCCTTCCTTCTATAACAGCTGAACCTATTTTTAGATGACCTAGCTTTTGTCAGTTTTCCCTCACCTTTTCATGGATTGCCTTCCAGGCCTCTACTGCAGAATCAGCTAATCTTATCTCAGTTATTTTTTAGACACATTTCACACTATTTTCCCCTTCTCATGACATTGTTTGATGATGATCCTTTTGTCTCTCTTTTGAGAGTGAGTACTTGCAAGCTTTAATTCTTTTTGCCTTAGCTTACCATCAGACAGATTTTGTTCCTGATTTTATGTCATTTGCATATCTGTTAATCTTATCCATTTTATCCCCTACCTAGTTTTTCCTTAGCATCATTTTACCCCATCAACATTATTACAGTTCATGTTTACCTTCCATCTTCTTTCTTTGGTGTTCCATTTATATTTAGGGATTTTTGTGGGATACCTCTTCCTTATTTCATCCACACGTGGCTTCTTTGCTTTTAGGATCTTATAGGGTGGGACACTGCTGTTTGTTTACCATCCACTGCTAATAGGGTCTTATGGTTGGTTCTTTTTCTGCATCGATCCATTTTTTGGGGCTACTGCTGTACATTTAGCATCACATGCTATATTAATTTTTTTTTAGTTGCTCTTTTGTTTCAGTTTGAGATATCATCATCTTTATTCATTTTATATGTTTGACATCTGTTTGTCCTTTACATGTCTTACCTATGGGGTTTTTTCATTTGTCTGGTGTGCTCTATGCTCATCGGAGTTCTGGATCAATTGGTCTCACCTCAATCACTTCTTGGGTCTTCCCTGTTTTAATATGTTGTCTTTGATCACATCTGGGTAGGCTGTTTCTGCAGACTGACAATGCCCACAGTACATGTTCTTATTTTTGATTTTTTCCCCACATGATTAGGTACCAGTTTCGTGGCTTGAAATTTGGACTTGTTTTGGTTCCATTTGCTTTTTGTGGGGCGGTCTGCATTTTACCCGATTTCCACATTTGGGGAATTTTACCAACACCATTCATTGGATGTCTAGCTTTGGTCAGCTCCTTTCACACAGAGTTAGTCTTAACATACTCTTCTACTCCTTCCATGGTCGGCTTTAGTAGTTGGATTTTCCAGTTGGTTAAGTTTTTCCTGTTACATACCTCACAGTCTAGTCTCTTTGAGGTGTGTATTTTAAAACACTCCCTCCATCAGGACCATCCATTCTCCTGCTATGATGCATGCAAAGGTGTTTTATGTTATCTCAGCCTTTACTTTGGGATTTTCTCTTAATTTTCATCCTTCCTTCTTCGTCCATATGTGTTGATAGTTCAACATATCCTCCACAATATTGGGTTTGCTGCTTCCTCCCCCTCTTCTGGATTGTTTCTCTTCTCTGATGCTCATTTACAAAAGTGAAGGGTGTGGTTCTATCAGTAGGAGGCTTCAGGATAATTGTCTCCAGTCAAAAGGTTATTTCCCCTTCACACCTTCATGCTCTTCTTGTCTGGCTTGAATGATCTTGTTTTATTTCAACTTTTTGATGGTAGTGGCTTATATCACTCACCATGGGGATGCTCCTTCTTTTTCCCTTTAAGGTAAACAGTGGATTTCATTTTTTTGAACCTACTCACATGACATACATCTCCTGGAGGGTCGTGTTCTAGGTGCTTTGTCCCTATTGTGAATTGATTTTCCAATTCTGACACTTTCTCCCAAGGAGTGACCTCTCAATCCTTCTAATTTTTGGTGGCTCTGCCTCCTGTGGAGTACTCTTCCGCATGAAGTTTTTGAATCTTATTACTTACAGTTTGTTACCTCTTTTGTTTTTGGTCTCTGGTTCATCATCCAATTGCCCTGGCTGTCATTAAGTTCAGACAGGTTTATATTAGTTTTTTCTCATTCCATCAGTCTTCTTTCCCAAAATTTTGTGCGTCCATGTCATTCCGGTTCAAGTCTTTCTGGTTGATCTTTCCTGGCCAGCACTGCTTTGGTTTTATCGGCTATTTTGGCTCAATTTGTTTCATTTGTTCTTGATAGATTTTATTAACTTGCATTTTAGTTGCTTATGTGGTATATTTCTTTCAACTTTTTTGTTTCTTACCATCTTCCACACTTCTCAGTGGAATCCAGATGACCTTCTCTGTTCAGTATATATTGTGGGTTGCTTCATTGTTTTCAATGCTTTTTTCTTTTAAATCCATTTCCCACGTTTCTTCCCCATACTCCACTTCTTTGTCTGTGATTTTTTTCATCCTCCCATACCCATTGGGTTTGGATTGTGAATCTATTTCCATGTTTCCTTTTTCCCATCATCACTTCCTTGTGTCTTCACTCCAGTCATCCAATCCCTTTAAGTCTACCCTGCCACCTGTTGGAGGTACTTCATGTGTCAAGCACTAGGTCCACATTTGATACGTTTGTCTTCCATTCTCTGCTTTGGGTTGCTGTTTTTTCCTTGTCAGTGTTCCATCCTTCACTCTTTCATGAGACCTGTGACTGGGTAAGTTAACTTTTAGTACAGATATATATATATATACCTCTCTTCTTTTTTATGGGCATGTCTCTCTTTTTCTTTTTGGATCCCGCTCTGTGGTGGGTGGTGCCTGACCAAGTATTCTTTAATAGCTCAGATCCTGTTGCTGGGGTGGTGAACCGTGGAGGCATTTTCCTGAATGTGTTAATGAAATACAAATAATATATATAAATGATTATAAAACTATTCAGTTGAGAGTAGGGTGGTAGTGTTTTGCTGGTGTAGATGATGTGATACCCTCCACTCTATAACATGGGAGTGAGCCTTCCAAATTGCAGTCCACCCCTTCGGTTGGGACCCCCTCATCCTACCTCCACGTGGATGTCAGTTCCCAGTGGCTGGGTTTTGGATTTAGAGCTGAACCAATCAACAAAAGTCCTCACACGTGTATTACAGATGTCTCTATTCCATCACTCATTTATACTCTTGTTACTCTATCCGTGTTGTGGGTCATGGTAGAAGTACTTGCAGATTACTATGGTTTTCCCCTTCCACTATCCCTTGATGTTCTTATTATTCTGGGGATATTACTGCGCTTGGAGTGTTTCCTGTCAATTTAAAAATTTGAGTGAGATGGTTTACATTAACCAGACATCTTTTCAATGTCAGATGTCGGGTTCCCGGATCACTCAATCAATTTCTCACATTATCATGTGCCCCGTTCATGGGTCAGGGGGTACGAGATTCCCTCTGGTCTCATGAACTTGAGGTGAAGGCAGTATGATTCTCTCTCCTACTCCCACCAGATGGCTGGGTGTTGGATTGTAGTTGACTTGCCACTGGTATGATCTTTTTTCCTACTCCCACATGGATGTCTGTACCCAGTGACCAGGTTTTGGATTGTAGTTGACTTACTGACTGTATGATTTTCATCCTGCCCCATCTGGATGTTGATTCCTAGCAACATGGGTTTTGGATGTAGTTTACTTGCCATGTACAGTCTGTGAGCCCTAGCAACTCTACACCTAGGGACACCTAATCTTATCCACTTTTAGGTTTTTTGGGATTGAGTTTCATAAATATTGTATGACTCGGATCCCTATCCTGCCACAGTTCTCTCCCGCTTGGATGGGCTCCTCCATTTTTCTGCTGATATATGCAACATCCTTCCATGATGAGTGAAGAGTATACCTGGTTCAGAAGTGGTGTGGTCTCTCACATCAGATCTTTGATGCTGAAGATTTCCTCTTGGAATGTGTCCTTCGGATGTTTTCGAAGGATGCATCTTTCGTTCCCTCGCACCAAACCCTCTACTTATTCAATGTGGGATTCTAGCTATTTATGTGAGCGGTGATAATGTACCATATTGGAAGTTATAATTTTCCTATACTGAAGATGTATTTTTGATAGGTACTTACTCACACTTTCTACCTTTCCTCCCCACTGAAAACCGGTGCTTCCATTTTCTGCCAAAATTTGAAGTGATAGTTTGGTAGAATTGAATAGAGGGAGTCACATGTGTCAAGAGAGTATGTTGCCCTCTTGTTGGTGGAGTTTCAAATACTGTAAGTTTTTGGATATATAGGAAAATTATAACTTCCACCACTGAAAATGTGTTTTAGATAGATACCTCTTCTTACACTTCTTCCCACTTTTCTTGGTGCATCTTTTCTTGCCAAATCTCAAAGTGATGATTGAATAATCAGTGTAGAGGAAGTCAACTGCCTTAGGATGGGTGTGTTGCGCTCCTAGTGGTGGATGGTTGTTATTTTCTCATTTTCCTGCTACAGTGCAGCTATTGCAATTGGCTTTTCCCAATTCTGTGCTGCCCTCTATATGGGCAATTTTGTTTTTTGGCTTGCCACTAGCCTTGAGGTTCCGACCTAAATTCACATTTTTTTAATATGTGAGAAGAGTTATCTATTGGAAATTCATTTTCAGTGTTGGAAAATGTTAACATTAGCTAGTACTTGTGTGAGGCTTTCTTTCTCTGCATTTCTTACTTATTTCCATAGCTCACAGTTTTAGACTGAGAGAAACATAGATATGTCTTAGATATTAGTTTATATAAATTTGTTTTCTAACAATCTGTTATTAGATTTTCTGTTCACTTTTTTTTGGGTTAAGCAAATAATGTGTAAAAATATTATTTTCCTTCTATAGGCATATCGTCGTATGGTTCCTCCACCTCCTCCTTTAGTTTTACCATCAAGGCGAAGTTTATATTCTGAAGATAACACATCTGATTCATCCTCTCTTTTTTCAAATACTGTATTTTCATCTTCTTATGCAAGAAAAGGTGTTCCCTCTCCCATGTCAATGGTTTTAAAAGTACAGCATTTAGCTTCTTTGAGAAGGTCAAAAAATGATGTTTGTTCCAGTTCATTAGTTGGGATTGACCAGGTTGTTTCATCAACAGCTTTAGCAGATAGTGATTTAACCCAAAAGAATCATCTGGAAGTTGATAATTCAAGCAGTTTAGTTGATCAAGCTGAAATCGAAGAATATATGGAAAATAATTTTAATCAGAACACTGATAACCTTATCCATCATCCTTCAAGACAGGTTGATAAAAATAATTTAGAAGAACATTGTAAAACAGAAATGTTTTCAGGACTGGGACATTATAAGGAAGATAAAAGTAATCAAACTGCTTCAAATAAACAGAAGAACTATGATTTTATTAGTATAATAAGCAACACAGTGGAAACAACCAGGAGTGAAAGAACTGATGAAAGTAATTCAAATGGAGAAAATTTAGCTGAAGCCAAAATACTGAAAGAAAAGAAAAAAAATTCAAGTTACTCAAGTTCAACAACACAAAAGAAACATTTTGAGCTGACAAAATCTAGAAATCTTAAAGAAGACTACAGTGTAGACAATGAAAGAGATATTCTTGTAGATAACAGTAAGAACAGAGAAAATGAAAAACAACATAAAATTACTTTCAATAACAACACAAATAGTACAGAAAGTAAAGAAAATGCGAATGACTATCTTAGTATTTTGAAGAACATAAGACAAAATTATCAAAAAATGGCAAAGAATGGAGGACAATTAGGGCATGAACCGGAGAGTGTCACAGAACTTTCTGTAATATCATTTAATGATAAAGCTATAGAATGTCAGTCTTCAAGTACCTCAAAGGAAATGCAGGTATGTTTTACTCAGTACATTTAAACCATATGTAACTAATGTTAGTATTTTTTTTTAATGGTAATATGAATGTATGCTAAATGTGTAATTTTTAGTTTTTGATTCATAAATGCTTTCAGAATTCCAAAGACGAAAAGAAGTTGGAGAGCACTCAGAGACTGGATATTGCGTCCACTGAAAAATGGTAGAGTTTGTGTGGAAGGGAAATTAAGGTGAGTTTTGTATTGTTTTTAGTGTTCAGTACTGTCAGAACTTTTTCTATTGTACTTAATAAAAAACAGTGATAAGTCTTATAGATGCTGTTACAAAATAGAAAATATATTGTATAAAAGCATCTTTAAGACTTAACACTATATACATAGTTCTTGTATAGGCATCATTTTTTTATTTGGACACTGAGTTATGCTCTTGTGATTATACAAAGGACAAAGGTATATTGAAATGACACCGTTTATTATGATTCATTTTCCTACAGAAGTAAATGGTAACACCAAATAAGATTTTATTCACTCTCAAAACAGTGGATCACCTCAAACTGCAACTTATTTCAGTTGTATATGTTCACTGGTAAAAAACAATGTTCTACATCTGAAATGGAAAAAAACACCACATTATTGTTATTTTTTCTTTTATCCAGCCCATTGTATCTACCAGTGTAGGTTCAAGCATGGCTTATTGGTTAACGTATTAGACTGGGAATCCAAGAATCTCAGATTTGAGATGTGGTGCTACCAAATACACTTTGTTCTGTCAGCTGTGGTTGCATTATTATATTAATATTCAATTGTGTTATTTGGCTAAAAGTAGGAACTCCAGGTGCTGCTTGCTGGTTGCTTTTTACCTGGTCCACAGTTAAACATTGTGGGTGGCTATACCCAAACCTTAGGGTTCCCTGACCTAGTAATTTAATCTATTATGTGTATAAGGTGACATTCAGGTGAACAACCAAATAAGTATCTCAAATAATTTTTAATTCAAATTAATTTTACCAATAGATGTAAAGTTTTAGTGAAGTATGAAGAACAAATGTAAACTTTAGAGAATAATGATCTAAATTTATTTTCAAAGAGAGAGAGAGAAGTTATGTAGGTTAAATACACAAAAATAATTTTCTTTAAATCTCACACTTACTTTAAGTGATGAGTTATAAGTTGATGTACAAGTCTAAAATGAAAATGAGAAAGAGCTTGGTTTTATCAATGTCAACATAGAGTAAGGTACATTTATTTCTGAGCTGTAAATATATTTGGTTATTTTGGTAATCTGACTTCCTTTCTGTTATTCACTTGCCCTTGATGTTTATAATCTTCCAAGATGTATAATAGTTTTTAATAACATAGTCAAAAAAGACTTCTTCAGGGCTTAAAATTTTTCATGTAATGTTTGAGTTTTGCAAGTTGAATACTAACTGATACAAATAAAGTTAGATGTCAAATTGTTTTGCGCTCAAGTTAAGACTTAATAGCAAGATATTTCACACAGTCTACAAATAGTATCAGTATATAACTGCAAAGTCTCAAAATAGTTCATCATTTATTGCTGACTATGAATGAGGACTGGTCTGTGATATGCTGCTCCTTATTGATCAGTGCTCATATGAGCAGCCAGTAATGTGGTTGAATTCATGTTCATGCATGTGGATTTGTGTGATAAAGGCACTAGAAGATAATACTTTTACAGCAGACTTCCAAGCACGAAGTTGAAGAAAAGCCACATTATTTCTAATGGATTAAGGTAATCATGATCAAGAAATAGTAAATAAGTAATACATTTGACCCGATAACTTGTTCCATCTGTGTTCTCTCTCTCTCTATGTATATATATATTTATATACATACACAACACACACACAGACTTGTAAACACGTACTATACTACCAGTGACTTTTCAAAGCTATGTATAAGCAACCAGGAACAAGAGCAGGAAAGGCAACATAAAGTAAACATGACTGATTAGAAAGTATGACATCTAAAGTGTACTTATGCTGTTTTTCATTGACCAGTTGCTGTTGATTTCTGTCTGAACTTCTTTCCTTCACAATTACAGGAATACTTAATTACATAGTAAATGAGGTTAGGCCTAGACTTCCTCAGTAATTTATTTCTCACTGGACCAATCTTTCTATGTTTCTCTTTTCCAAAATTGTGTCAAATTACTAAAATAATCTTCTGTTGTCTATAATTCTTCATTTGTTTGAAACTTTTTCTTTACAGAAACATTGTTCTTTTCCTTCAATATGTGTGTTATTTGTAGGATGTGGTCCTGGTAGTTACTGCTTAGTAATCTGGTTCACTCCTAATTAATTTAATTAGTATTAAATAGAGATGAAGGTATGGCGAATATTTCTGCAAGAATGTGG